TCTATTGTAACCTTATCGTAGGGTCGTGCAATTCCCTAAACAGTGACTCTATTGTAACCTTATCGTAGGGTCGTGCAATTCCCTAAACAGTGACTCTATTGTAACCTTATCGTAGGGTCGTGCAATTCCCTAAACAGTGACTCTATTATAACCTTATCGTAGGGTCGTGCAATTCCCTAAACAGTGACTCTATTATAACCTTATCGTAGGGTCGTACAATTCCCCAAACAGTGACTCTATTATAACCTTATCGTAGGGTCGTGCAATTCCCTAAACAGTGACTCTATTGTAACCTTATCGTAGGGTCGTACAATTCCCTAAACAGTGACTCTATTGTAACCTGATCGTAGGGTCGTGCAATTCCCTAAACAGTGACTCTATTATAACCTTATCGTAGGGTCCTGCAATTCCCTAAACAATGACTCTATTGTAACCTTATCGTAGGGTCGTGCAATTCCCTAAACAGTGACTCTATTATAACCTGATCGTAGGGTCGTGCAATTCCCTAAACAGTGACTCTATTATAACCTTATCGTAGGGTCGTGCAATTCCCTAAACAGTGACTCTATTGTAACCTTATCGTAGGGTCGTGCAATTCCCTAAACAGTGACTCTATTGTAACCTTACCGTCAGGTCGTGCAATTCCCTAAACAGTGACTCTATTATAACCTTATCGTAGGGTCGTGCAATTCCCTAAACAGTGACTCTATTATAACCTTTTCGTAGGGTCGTGCAATTCCCTAAACAGTGACTCTATTATAACCTTATCGTAGGGTCGTGCAATTCTCCAAACAGTGACTCTATTATAACCTTATCGTAGGGTCGTGCAATTCTCCAAACGGCGACTCTATTATAACCTTATCGTCAGGTCGTGTTATTCCCAAAACAGTGACTTTATTGTAACCTTAAGATGTAATTATTAATCAGACAGTTTTGGGCACGTTGTCATTTTTACCAGGTTTGTTGGCAATAAAACCTCCGTTATTTCATTATTCCCAGTTGTTGTTAAAATGCTTGGTCTTCTGGAAAGTTCGAGTCTGAAAATACCGCTTAATAGGCACATTGACATACTATCTGCTTTCGTTTAGAAATTACAAGGAATTCAACGATGGAATGTGATATTTTTTAGACTAACAGCACAGATTTCAAGAGTGACAAAGGAACTCATTCATACTTATTTGTGATTGTGTCTATTTTGGGGGTATTGTTTCGACGGGCATGTGTGAAGGTCAATTGCGATGACCAATTGTTTTGAAGATCATTGTTTTCATTCTGGATAGTTTAGGCCTGTTTCCGACGTTTGGCCACTGCTGGCTCCAGCCATTATTTTTATCACAGATTTTATTGATTTTACCTTTGCTGTTTTATTATACATGCCCTCGTAATGTCTATGAATGTTGTTCAGTGCCACTCTAATGTGCCATTTATGCTAAGCTTGAAGCAATTTGTATTGATTTGTGAACGTAGTTAATATTAGTGACTATTGTTAATCATATATCATTTCTCTCTTGTTTGTTTCGTGCTGGATTCCTTTGCGTACAAATGTCAGGGTCCGAATTGTTCCAGTTTCGAAATCGAGACGTAACAATTTATACACATATTGTTTCTATGGCAACAATTTACTGTGAAATATTTATTAAATCAAAACCCCGTGACATTTTCATTTAATAATTGTAATGAAGTCACTAGTTTGTTTACCTCTGTATGGTCACACTATCTGCTGATGCCATATTTCAAATATAAACGGCATTATCATGAAGTATGTATGTATGTATGTATGTATGTATGTATGTATGTATGTATGTATGTATGTATGTATGTATGTATGTATGTATGTATGTATGTATGTATGTATGTATGTATGTATGTGTGTGTGTGTGTGTGTGTGTGTGTGTGTGTGTGTGTAATGTATGTATCGATATGCATTAATCTTTGTATGTATGTGTGTGTGTATGTGTGTGTGTATGTACATAGCAGTACCCACCTGTGTGCACGCGTGCGTTTGTATGTACGTGTGTGCGTGCTTTGGATACTTGTATCTGTGTGAGTAGTAGTGTAAGTGGGACGACATGTACATGTATGCGTGTGTTTGCGTGCATATGTGTCACCGTGCGTCTTCATGCGTCTGTTTAATACTGCTCTGAGAGGATAACCCAACTAGGTATAGTAGTCATCTTGATATTTTCCTAGTAAACCAGATATCGTGTCTGCTTTTTGAAGCCTAGTAGTGTCTCAACCGGCCGAGTCAGGTCTGCTTGTTGAAAGCGATCACCTAGTTGTGAAGTAGTGCCTGTATTTGGCTGAGGGCTAGTTGTGTCTGCAACTCCATGGACCTAGTAGTGCATCACTATCCGTCTAGAGCCTACACAAACGAACACCTATATATCCTAGTATGTGTTGTCTGTATTGACCTTCAGTGTGAAACTATTGATATGTATTAATCTTTGACCTAAAGCACCACTTATTATATTGTTAGTAGTGTCTGCTTTATTGACCTATCTAGTGTCTGCATCTTGACTGTCTGCGTTGTGTTGTAGTGTTTGTTTATTGTTGCAGTATGTCATTAACCCTAGTAGAACGTATTGACCTAGCAGTGTCTGCTATTGCACACTAGTTGCTCTGCTTCAGGCCCTAGTAGTGTCTGGGTATTGGCCTAGCAGTGTCTATTTATTGACCTAGTAGTGTCTATCTGACCTTAGTAGTGTCTTATTGACTTAGAAGTAGTGTCTGCTTTTTGACCTAGTAGTGTATCTGCTGTGACCTAGTAGTGTCTGCTATTGACCTAGTAGTGTTTTTATTGACTTAGTAGTGTCTGCTTATTGACCTAGTAGTGCCTGCTTATTGACCTAGTAGTGTCTGATATTGTAGTAGATCTGCTTTTTGACCTAGTAGTGTCTGCTTATTGACCTAGTAGTGTCTGCTTATTGACCTAGTAGTGTCTGCTTATTGACCCTAGTAGTGTCTTCTTTTTGACCCAGTAGTGTGTCTGCTATATTGACCTAGTAGTGTCTGCTTATTGACCCTAGTGTAGTGTCAGCTGACCCAGTAGTGTTGCTTACCCTAGTAGTGTAGTGCCTGCTTATTGACCTAGTAGTGTCTGCTATCATGACCTAGTAGTGTCTGCTTATTGACCTAGTAGTGTCTGTGTCTGACCCTAGTATTGCCTAGTAGTGTCTGCTGCTATTGGCCTAGTAGTGACTGTTTATTGACCTAGTAGTGTCTGCTTATTGACCTAGTAGTAGTGTCTGACCTAGTTGTGTCTGCTTATTGACCTAGTAGTGTCTGCTTATTGACCTAGTAGTGTCTGCTTATTGACCCTAGTAGTGTCTGCTTATTGACCTAGTAGTGTCTGCTTATATTCCTAGTTTTATTGACCTAGTAGTGTCTGCTTATTGACCTAGTAGTGTGTCTGTCTTATAGTAGTAGTCTGCTATTGACTTAGTAGTGTCTGCTTATTGACCTAGTAGTGTCTGCTTATTGACCTAGTAGTGACCCAGTGGTGTCTGCTTATTGACCTAGTAGTGTCTGCTTATTGACCTAGTAGTGTTGCTTATAGTAGTGTCCTGACCTAGTAGTGTCTGCTTATTGACCTAGTAGTGTCTGCTTATTGACCTAGTAGTGTCTGCTTATTGACCTAGTGTCTGCTATATTGACCTAGTAGTGTCTGCTTATTGGCCTAGTAGTGACTGCTAGTAGTGTCTGCTAGTAGTGTCTGCTATATTCCTAGTAGTGTCTGCTTTATTGACTTAGTAGTGTCTGCTTTTTGACCTAGTAGTGTCTGCTTATTGACCTAGTAGTGTCTGCTTATTGACCTAGTAGTGTCTGCTTTTTGACCTAGTAGTGCCTGCTTATTGACCTAGTCGTGTCTGCTATATTCCTAGTTGTGTCTGCTTGATTGTAGTGTCAGCTATTAGTAGTGTCTGCTTATTGACCTAGTGACCTAGTGTATGCTATTGACCTAGTGTGTGTCTTAGTAGTGTCTTATTGACCTAGTAGTGTCTGTTTATTGACCTAGTAGTGCCTGCTTATTGACCTAGTCGTGTCTGCTATATTCCTAGTTGTGTCTGCTATATTCCTAGTTGTGGCTTTTTGGCCTAGTAGTGTCTACTATATTCCTAGTTGTGTCTGCTTATTGACCTAGTCGTGTCTGCTATATTCCTAGTTGTGTCTGCTTATTGACTTAGTAGTGTCAATTTTTGGCCTAGTAGTGTATGTTTATTGACCTAGTAGTGTCTGCTTATTGACCTAGTAGTGTATGTTTATTGACCTTGTAGTGTATGCTTATTGGTTTAGTAGTGTCTGTTTATTGACCTAGTAGTGTCTGCTACTGACCCAGTAGTGTCTGCTTATATGACCAAGTAGTGTCTGTTTATTGACCTAGTAGTGTCTGCTTATTGTCCCAGTAGTGTCTGCTTATATGACCCAGTAGTGTCTGTTTATTGACCTAGTAGTGTCTGCTACTGACCCAGTAGTGTCTGCTTATTGACCCAGTAGTGTCTGTTTATTGACCCAGTAGTGTCTGCTTATTGGCCCAGTAGTGTCTGCTTATATGACCCAGTAGTGTCTGCTCTTGACCTAGTAATGTCTGCTTATTGGCCCAGCAGTGTCTGCTTATTGACCTAGTAGTGTCTGCTTATTGACCTAGTAGTGTCTGCTTAAAGTGTTTTTGTAGCACTCTCCTTTGACTGTAGGCGTCATGTAGTGTTGTCGCGATCAGTACATGACATGGCCATTGAGGTTTAATCTCTTCACGTAAATGTAGTATGTGATTTGTCTTGTAGCAACCAATCGGGATTTTGTATATGCCTGTCATGGGACAGTTCCGTGTCTTTATACATCATCACAGGTTGTTTGGCTTTTCAGTTTAGTCGTTTTTAACTCCGCACACAGTGATAAGGCCTTGGTCATAGCCTTTGCCGTCTTAGTGCAATGGCAGTTTGAGAAAAAATGTGTAATAGAAAATATATATTTATTGCTAATGAACGGTTGCTCTTTTACAGAACGAACCAACAAGGCACTACAAAGATGAACAATACCACCCATCACTCTGGCAATGGAAATGGCTCTGTCAATGGTTTTTCCAGCGGATCTCCAACAATCAGTCGAGGTCGTGTTCTCATTACTGGGGGCGCTGGGTATGTAGGTACAAGTATTATACCCATACTGCTGGAAGGAGGGTACGAGGTGACCGTGTTCGACTGTTTCAAATGGGGCATTTCATCATTACTACCTTTTGCGGAACACCCACGCCTCACCATCGTGAATGGTGACATCATGAATAAAGATCAACTCAGGGAGGTGATCAAAGATAAAACAGCAGTCATACATCTAGCGGCTATTGTTGGTTACCCTGCATGCGACAAGGATCCTGAGATTGCGGATCAAGTGAACATTGGTGGTACACAGAACGTAGTGGATCTCATGTCACCTGGACAAGCACTTGTCTATGCTAGCACAGGCTCTTGCTACGGTGCAGTCGATGGTCTCTGTACCGAAGACTCCAAAATCAGTCCTCTGTCTAAATATGGCAGTTCTAAGGCCGGTGGAGAGGAAGTGACTCTTAAAGCCGGGGGTGTGGCTCTGAGGCTGGCAACCGTCTTCGGAATATCACCTCGACTCCGACTGGACCTCCTTATAAATGATCTTACATACAAGGCACTAACAATAAAGCATTTTGATCTCTATGAATCCCATTTCCGAAGGACATTTCTTCACGTCAAAGATGCCGCCCGGGCGTTTGTGTTTGCACTGGAGAACTACAAGGTAATGAAAGGAAAGGCATACAACGTTGGCGATGAGCGCATGAACCTGACAAAGCTGGAAGTGGCTCAGATCATCCAGGAGCAGGTACCCACATGTAACATCACTGAGTCCAACTCCGGGGAAGACAAGGACAAGAGAGACTACGAAGTGTCATACGAGCGAATACGAAAGCTTGGCTATAGATCGACAATAACTGTTCAAGAAGGCGTGAAGCATCTCCTGAAGGTACTTCCTTGTGTACAAGTCGGCGAGGTTGCCCGGTTTAAAAATGTGTAATATGTCAGGATAGAATTCCCACATGTCACACGGATAGCTCGGGGACACTTTGCAACAATTATTAAATATTGAATCATATTCCCATGGACTGAATGAAGGTGCAAATAAGTGTATTCCACTACAATCAAGAACGTATCACTTTGCTGTTCCTGAAACCACGTTTACTGAACATTCCTGTTTGGGATGCAATTAGTCCACTACGGTGATTCGATGACCCTGGCGTGTCTTAGTCGGGACAATTCTACTGGAAGCCATACCTCCCGCATCAACAGCGCTGATGAGAAGAGACATTGTGTACCTGTGTTTGGAACTTATCATAATCTAAATATTATACTTTTTTTATGTATAAAAGTCACCTTGTAACACTTCCGAATCAACATAACTTATTTCGTCATATACATTAACATTATTTATTCATCGGCATTATTCATTTACTTCAAATCTTTAAAGAATCATTCCTTTGTTGCCTTACTGCTGCTGCTGCTGAGTCGACAGGGCTTTGAGGATGTGTATTTGCTGTGTGTTGATGTTATGGCTAAGTGTCAAAGAATCTTCGTTCGACATTTCAAAAGAATGGAATAGCAATAATCTATGTCATGTCGAAATGTCAAAATATCATAGAATGTAATATCAATAGCCCATGTCATGTCGACATAAATTGTATCACGTGCCAGCAAAGCACTCTACATGTTCCACGATTTGTCCCAAAAGGATTAGCAGTAGATTAGCTTGGATAGAGTTAGCGTCCTTGAGGATGTTCCAAATTATATAACTTTATAACTAAATGATTACATTTCCTGGTTCCGTCATTTATATTTTGCACAGAGGATGAAACCGGAATTACTCCTTTTCAGGGTAATGAATCAAAACAAATGATACAAGGTTCCTTACTAACTTATTGAATAAACTTCGCTTCTACCCCTTTAGCTGAAAGAATTGGTTGTGTTTGTAACTGTGGGCGTGGGTTTGTAACTATAGGAATGACTGAACAAGATGATGACGCTTTGGTATTGCCCGCGTCAAACATTCGCTCACAAGGAAGTGTGATATGTGTTACATTTTTGTAAGGTCCTCGTCGCGTGCAGCAGTCTACATTTCCTTTCGACTTGCATCTGTCTACGGGTCCTTGTAGGGCGAAACACATCTATACTTTTAAACTCAGTATCATTTGGAAGTGATAGATATAAACGGGGGCATTTTATGCTTGCCAACCTCTGTGATCAGAGAAAGATGACGTTTCGGAGAATATTCCCACTCCTTCATCAGGTGATATAATCCGAAACATCATGTTCCTCACATACCTTGACAAAGATCTTGTCCCCTTTGTGAAGACCCTTGGTGCGATCTGTATACATGTGCTGCTTATGTGCATTATCAACACGATCATGTCAAGTGTACCATCTAGGGGGATCACAGTAGCTTGTCATGTGTACCATCGACCGGACTTTGTTATATATGTATCCGTCTACGTGAGCTTGTTACGTGTACCACTTACAGCAAATTGTCATGTACGGACATTTGTATCATCTACAGTAGTGTGCCACGTGTATCATCCAAATGGGCTTGTCACATCTATAATCTACAGAGGCCTGCCAGCTGTACCATATACAGTAGCGTGCCATGTGTATTATCAACATACGATTGTCACATCTATAATCCACAGAGGCCTGCCACCTGTATTATCTACAGTAGCGTGCCATGTGTATCATCCAAATGGGTTTGTCACATCTATAATCTACAGATGCTCGCCACCTGTATTATCTACAGTAGCGTGCCATGTGTATCATCCAAATGGGTTTGTCACATCTATAATCTACAGAGGCCTGCCAGCTGTATCACGTACAGTAGCGTGACATGTTATCATCCAAATGTGATTGTCACATCTATAATCTACAGAGGACTGCCACCTGTATCATGTACAGTAGCGTATGTGTACCATTGGCACGTGCTTGTCACATTTATAATCTTCAGAAGCCTGCCACATGTGTCATCTACAGCAGGCACCATATCCATGCATTTGTCACATTTTCCAAATAATGTTTTTTGGTCCCATGTGCTAATTATAGTGGACTAAATGCCAGGTACACAATGTAATGTAATATGTTCCATCTGCAGAAGCCCATACTATCCACATCAGTGTATTACGTGTAACATCTGCAATAGCTTGTCACATGTACTGCCTATAGCAGTTTGTCATGTGTAACATGTACAGTAGCTTGCCACGTGTACCATCTTCACGGGCTTGTCTCTCGTACAATGTACTTAAGCTTGTTAGATGTACCATCTACAAATGCGTGTTAAGCTACTAGCCAACGGTGTTTGTCATGACTGCCATCTAGAGGTGCTTGTATCTCGTACTATGTACAGGAGCTTGTCAAATGCACAATCTACAGGTGCTTGTTTCTCGTACTATGTACAGGAGCTTGTCAAATGCACCAGCTACAGGTGCTTGTTATTCGTGGTGTTATGGTTTCTACGACTTAATACTGTAAACTTAGTTAGCTGTTGTACCCCACGTGTATTATATGTCCACAGCAATATATATATGTATATATATATATATATATATATATATATATATATATATATATATATATATATATATATATATATATATATATATATATAGACTTTCCGTTGATGAGGGAGGGAGACTCTCAGGTCATGTGCAAAATCAGCGGCCTATTGTTCCACAACGGCAAGCGACAGCTGTTCTAAAGGTATTAAGCGATCAATAAAGTGTTGTTTAGCTTTGACGGGTTAGTTCCAGTAGAAAATCAATACTTTGCTGTTCCATGTCAATTCACAGCGCCTATTATTTTCCAATTCGTACACATATTGGAAAATTAATGACCTTACATGTATACCTTTGACAGCAGTCAATGTTGCCAAATGCCGCCACAATCTACTCTACGAACCTCTCATGCAATGCAAGGTGTAGGTTTGAAGTGGACCTAACGGTTTTACAACACAAGGTATCTAACAATGCTATTCTCGAAACAATGCTATTCTCGAAACGTTCGTAGCCCTACGAACTTCTTAAGCCCATTCTTAACACATTGGCTACGATCAAAGTTAAGAATTCTTAGGTCTACGAACGTTTCGAGAATAGTAGCGCAGGTGGCAAGAGGACATAGTAGGGGAGATGTCCTCTCTGTAGAAAATCGATACCAGACAACCTGTTGGGCCTCATCAGTCGACCAAGTCCATGAATAATTTAACCAATCATTCGATATAATAAACATGCCTATTTGACTGAACTGGCTCTCACAGCCACATGCGCTGATATATGCTCTTGTTATTACTCTACGTAAACTGTCTGTTCAGTTAACACACCTACAACCAACTGAATTAATGGTGAATCATAACAGTGGAAATATCAGCTGTAACTCCATCGCACCAGGTGGTTTCTGGGTTGGATCACTCTTATGATCCCTTCCACTGGTTATCAAGTTTTCGGTTTTATCCTCGTGCGTGGCATAACGTTATATCTTGTGGGATTTTACATTTGATCTTCATCATGGGCTACATGTATATGATATCTTTGTGGGTTATTAACATTTGTCCAGTAACATAATTTGTACGAGAAGGGAATGTGCAGAAATGGACAATTGAAAACTGTCTAACAGGTACACAAGTAAATGTCTCCGTTTACGAAATATTCGATAAATGGATGGAGGCTTTACAGTACTATAGGTCATATACAGAAATGTTTTCTCCTCTATTAATTACCTGGAGACATTTCCACCGATATCACCTATCCAGGAAACGTGTTACTCATGTTATGCATCTGGAAACATGTGTACCATCAACTTGCGCCTATCACGTTTAGCATTTGCAGGAGCTTTCCATATGTGCCATCGACTGGACCGTGTTATGTGTACAGGCACTGGACACATGTTCCGTCTACATGAGTTTGTTAAATGTGCCACTTACAGTAACGTGCCATCTACGGGAGCACCAAAGGTGGTATCTGTGTTGGAGCATTCTTGCGATCCCTTCCATTGGATCATTTAGGTTTGGGTTTTCTCCTCGTGGGTGGCATAAAGGGTTTAACCTTGTGGGTTTTTACATATTTTATCCATCATGGGCTACATGTATATGGTATCTTTGTGGGTTATTAATATTTCTCCAGTAACACAGTTTGTACGAGAAGGGAATGTACAGAGATGGACAATTGAAAACTGTCAATCATGTGTTCAAGTAAATGTTTCCGTTAACGAAACTTTCGATACACCGATGGAGGCTTCACAGTACTATCGGTCATATAAAAAAATGCTTTTCTCCTCTGTTAAGTAATATGGAGACATTTCCACCGATATTACCTATCCAGGAAACGTGTCACACCTGTGTAAGGTGTCTGGAGATATGCGTATCATGAACTTGCGCCTATCAAATTTAGGATCTGCAGGAGCTTTCCATATGCACCATCGACTGGACCGTGTTATGTGTACAGGCACTGGACACATGTTCCGTCAAGGTGAGCTTGTGAAATGTGCCACTTACAGTAACATGCCACCTACGGGAGCACCAAAGGTGGTATCTCCGTTGGAGCATTCTTGTTATCCCTTCCATTGGATCAGTTAGGTTTCTGTTTTATCCTCGTGGGCGGCAAGAAGGTTTTATCCTTGTGGGTTTTTACATTTTATCTTCATCGCGGGCTACATGTATATGGTATCCTTGTGGGTGATTAATATCTTGCCAGTAACACAATTTGTGTTACAGAAAAGTGCAATTGAGAACTTTTCTTACTATCCATCGTGTTCGGACTTCATCTATCCCAATCTGCTGTAGGAATAGACTAAGGGGATCGGGTGGTCAGGCTCGCTGACTTGGTTGACACTTGTCATCGGTTTCCCATTGCGCAGATCGATGCTCATGCTGTTGATAACTGGATTGCCTGGTCCAGACTCGATTATTTACAGACCGCCACCATATAGCTGGAATATTGCTTAGTGCGGCGTAAAACTCAAATCACTCACTCACTCACCGCTGTAGGGATATATGATACATATACACATAAGTGTGAATACATGTAGTTGTGACTAACGTCTCCGTTAACGAAACAATCGATAAATGGATAGAGGCTTCACAGTAATTTCGGTCAAATCAAAATTATTTCCTCCCCTGTTAGTTATCTGAAAACATTAACCTCATATATAACGTATAAAGAAGACACGCTACTCCTGTGTTAAGTCTCCGGAGACATTTTCCTTCCATATCAGTTACATAAGATGCTTGTGATCTTATTATCTGGAGACATTTTCCTCTTATGTCGTATATTTGGTGATATTTTCTTTCATATCAGATGTATGGAGGGTCCCGTATGGAGAACTTTGCTTCCTTATAAATTACCTGGAGTATCTAGTTACATTGTCCTCACCTCTCAGTTATCTGTTTCATATTTTCAGATATTTTCCTGCTGTATCAGGTATATGAAATGTTTCCCTGTACTCTTGTTATCTGGAAACATATTCCCCCCCATGTCGCATATTTGGAGATATTTTCCTGCCATGTGAGTTATAAAGAGAACTTTGCTCTTATAATGTTATATGTTACCTGGAGTATCTAGCTACAGTGTCTGCACCTGTCAACTATCGGGCGATATTTTCCTCCCATGTCCATTTGTTGAGATGACACAGCCAATTTCACGACATGTAAGAAGTAGCTATGAAATGCTTAAATCATTAGATGATACTGGAGATACTAATTGGGTTTCCTTCATTAGAACTATTCTTTTTAGTCGTGGCTTTGGAAATGTGTGGTTCGCTCAAAATGTAAGCTATACGCAATATTTCATTCAAGTATTAAGCAGAGGTGCAAAGACATTTATCAACAAGACTGGTATAATGAAATAACGTCATTAACTTGTGTCAACTTATATCAGAATATATACATTGCATTAATACAAATATTTATCTTTCTA